CCCATGCGCTAGATGTCCCTAAGCTTCTGAATGCTAGAAGCTGGGAGTGGATGACAGGGAATGGATCACTTGGTAATTGCCCTGTTCTGTTAATTCCCTCTGAAACACCTAGTATCTGGCACTATCAGAAGACAGTATACAGGGCTAGATGGACCATTGATTTGACCCAGTATGCCTATTCCTATACACAAACAGAAATGTCATGGAATATACCTCGCTTTGCTTGGCTAATCAACCTAGCTTAACAGATAGAATCATAGAATATCAGGGTTGGAAGGGACCTCAGGAGGTCATCTAGTCCAACCCCCTGCTCAAAGCAGGGCCTAATCCCCAACTACATCATGCCAGCCAGGGCTTTATCAAGCCTGACTTTAAAAACCTCTAAGAAAGGAGATTCCACCACCTCCCCAGGAACCCATTCCAGTGCTTCACCACCCTCCTAGTGAAAAACTTTTTCCTAATATCCAACCTAAACTTCCCCCACTGCAACTTGAGACCATTACTCCTTGTTCTGTTATCTGTTACCACTGAGAACAATCTAGATCCATCCTCTTTGGAACCCCCTTTCAGGTAGTTGAAAGCAGCTATCAAATCCCCCCTCATTCTTCTCTTCTGCAGACTAATCAATCCCAGTTCCCTCAGCCTCTCCTCATGTGCTCCAGCCCCCAATCATTTTGTTGCCCTCCGCTGGACTCTTTCCAATTTTTCCGCATCTTTCTTGTGGTGTGGGGCCCACAACTGGACACAGTACTCCAGAGGATCCTCACCAATGCCAAATAGAGGGGAATGATCACATCCCTCGATCTGCTGGCAATGCCCCTACTTATACAGCCCAAAATGTTGTTAGCCTTCTTGGCAACAAGGGCACACTGTTGACTCATATCCAGCTTCTCATCCACCGTAACCCCTAGGTCCTTTTCTGTAGGACTAGTGCCTACCCACTCAATTCCTAGTCTGTAGCAGTGCATGGGATTCTTCCATCCTAAGTGAAGGACTCTGCACTTGTCCTTGTTGAACCTTATCAGATTTCTTTTGGCCCAATCCTCTAATTTGTCTAGGTCCCTCTGTATCCCCCTCCAGCGTACCTACCACTCCTCCCAGTTTAGTGTCATCTGCAAACTTGCTGAGGGTGCAATCCACCCCATCCTCCAGATCATTAAGATATTGAACAAAACCAGCCCCAGGACTGACCCTTGGGGCACTCCACTTGATCCCGGCTGCCAACTAGACATGGAGCCATTGATCACTACCCATTGAGCCCAATGATCTAGCCAGCTTTCTATCCACCTTATAGTCCATTTATCCAGCCCATACTACTTTAACTTGCTGGCAAGAATATTGTGGGAGACTGTATCAAAAGCTTTGCTAAAGTCAAGGAATAAGACGTCCACTGCTTTCTCCTCATCCACAGACCCAGTTATCCCATCATAGGTTAGTCAGGCATGACTTGCCCTTGGTGAATCCATGCTGATTGTTCCTGATCACTGTCTTCATTTCAAAGTGCTTGAAAATTGATTCCTTGAGGATCTGATCCATGATTTTCCCATGGACTGAGGTGAGGCTGACTGGCCTGTAGTTCCCCGGATCCTCCTTGTTCCCTTTTTTAAAGATGGGAACTATATTAGCCTTTTTCCAGTCATCTGGGACCTCGCCCGATCGCCATGAGTTTTCAAAGGTAATGGCCAATGGCTCTGCGATAACATCCGCCAACTCCTTTAGCACTCTCGGATGCAGTGCATCCAGCCCCATGGACTTGTGCTCGAGCAGCTTTTCTAAATAGTCCTGAACCACTTCTTTCTCCATAGAGGGCTGGTCACCTCCTCCCCATACTGTGCTGCCCAGTGCAGTAGTCTGGGAGCTGACCCTGGTCTTGAAGACAGAGGCAAAAAAAGCATTGAGTACGTTAGCTTTTTCCACATCCTCTGTCACTAGGTTGCCTCCCCCATTCAATAAGGGGCCCACGCTTTCCCTGACCCTCCTCTTGTTGCTAACATACCTGAAGAAACCCTTCCTGTTACTCTTAACATCTCTCACTAGCTGCAACTCCAAGTGTTGATTTGGCCTTCCTGATTTCACTCCTGAATGCCTGAGCAATATTTTTATACTCCTCCCTGGTCATTTGTCCAGTCTTCCACTTCTTGTAATCTTCTTTTTTGTGTTTAAGATCAGCAAAGATTTCACTGTTAAGCCAAGCTGGTCGCCTGCCATATTTACTATTATTTCTACACATCGGGATGGTTTGTTCCTGCAACCTCAATAAGGATTCTTTAAAATACAGTGAGCTCTCCTGGACTCCTTTCCCCCTCATGTTATTCTCCCAGGGGCTCCTGCCCATCAGTTCCCTGAGGGAGTCAAAGTTTGCTTTTCTGAAGTCCAGGGCTAATGTTCTGCTGCTCTCCTTTTGGCACCACTGTTATGTAGTTTTGAGATGTGATTTCCCCCCTTCCCCAGTTGAAACTGACATAACTATGCCAGCAAAACTTTTAAGTGCAGACCACACCTCAGTCTTTCACAGACAGCTAACTTGATGGATCATCCTCTCCGATCTCCATTATGTGATAACTTGCATGTGAGAAATATTTAATTTATAAGATAATTAGTATAAACGGTTATCCCTCCAACTTGGTAAAGAAAGCAGAATGAGGTTTTTGCCATGAAGGGCCATTGAACTGAATAACTACTTCTGTCTGAAATTGTTTGCTTACTGCTGCTAACTAAAGCTAAGATTATGTCATGCAGGATCACAGAAGTCACAGATTCCAGACACCTCCGTAACATTTTCCATTTCAGCCCCATGGCAGCAACCCCGAAACTCCAAGCCGCAGCACGGGGCAACCCCAGAGCTATGAGCCACCATGGGCAGCAGGTGCTGCACAACCCTCCCCTCTCCTTCCCTCCCCAGCAGGGCTCAGGCAAGCATCCCCTTGTCAGCCCTATTGTGTCACAGTTATTTTTAGCAAAGTCAGGGACAGGTCACAGGCTTCTGTGAATTTTTGTTTATTGCTCGTGACCTGTCCCTGACTTTTACTAAACAGTGACAAAATCTTAGCCTTACTGATCACATCCAGGAGCACTATAATGGGAAACTTCCGGTTTCTTTCTACCGACCAGTTACTTACTTCATTTGACATGCTCTCTCTCTATATATCCCGTGTATAACCACCGCAGCCCATTTCCGAGCAGCTATCCGCCAGGGCAGAGCTGCCAGCCTCCGGGTCAGGGCCATCACCAGCTCCCCAGCTCCAGGCGCAAAGTCTTTCACAAAGCAACCAGCGAAAGGAGGGCAACGCTGAGCGTGGGAACGTGCGGGCCCGCGGAAGCTGGCGCGGGGACTCAGCGGCAGGCGCAGCCTCTGAAGCGGCTGTTCGCGTTGGGCTGGTGCGAGCTGCCCAAGCCTGCGGTTACCTGCCCCGCTGCCAACCCGGGACTCCAGCGCTCCGGGCAGGAGCAGGCAGGCTAGGAGCCCTCGGCTGTCCCGGAGGAGCAGGGGAGGCGCTCGCCCCGCCCCGCCCCCGCCCGGCTCCGGACGGCCGCACAGACAGCGAGGGGGACCCTAGCCGCTGCAGTGGGATCCGGGTCGCCAGCCCGGAGCCACCGGGGCCCAGCCCGAGGAGGCGGAGCCAGGAGCGCGGACGGCAGCGGCGGGACAGCCCCGCCCCGGGCCCGTAGGCTGCGGGGAGAGGCAGCGCGCCCCCGCCCCCGCTACTCACATGAACCCGGCGCCGCCCGTCACCAGCAGCCGCTTGGCAAAGCCCGAAGGCCCCGCGGCAGCCCCAGGAACCCCGGCACCCGACATCATCCGCACTTTACGGCACCACCGCGGCTCGCCGTCGCTTCCCGGCGTTCTGTCTCACACCCCCCCCTCCTCCCGTTTTCCGCCACTGCGCATGGGCGACGCGGCCCCTCTTTCCCTGCGCGTGCACAGTGAAACCCAATACTCCTGGCCTCTTCCGCCCCCGTCGGGAGCGCGGGGGTGGAGGGACGCGTCTCCAGCGGCGTGGGCCCATGCATTGGGCCGGGGCCGCCCCCCGCCAGCAGAGGGAGGATGGAAGCTCGCTCTGGGGCGTCCCGCAAAACGTGGCCACCCACCCCCTCCGTGGCAGCCGTAAAATACGGTTTCACGACACTTGGCCGCCCTAGGGCCAAGCTAAGCAACGGACACGTCGCGGCCGGGCTCTCGCTGCAGGAGGGAGGGGGGAATAACACTAGGGGAGGCTTCAGAGTAACAGCCCTGCTAGTCTGTATTCGCAAAAAGAAAAGGAGGACTTGTGGCACCTTAGAGGCTAACCAATTTATTTGAGCATAAGCTTTCCTGAGCTACAGCTCACTTCATCGGATGCATACTGTGGAAAGTACAGAAGACATTATATACACAATAAAGTCTGCTGCAGTTTCCACGGTAAACATCTGATGAAGTGAGCTGTAGCTCACGAAAGCTTATGCTCAAATAAATTGGTTAGTCTCTAAGGTGCCACAAGTACTCCTTTTCTCCTTACAATGTGTATGATCATCAAGTTGGGCCATTTCCAGCACAAATCCAGGTTTTCTCCGCTCCGCGCCCGCCCCCCCCCCCAAACTCACTCTCCTGCTGGTAATAGGAGAGTGAGTTTGTGGGGGGGCGGGGGTGGAGGGTGAGAAAACCTGGATTTGTGCTGGAAATGGCCCAACTTGATGATCACTTTAGATAAGCTATTACCAGCAGGAGAGTGGGGTGGGAGGAGGTATTGTTTCATGGTCTCTGTGTATATAATAAGGTCTTCTGCAGTTTCCACGGTATGCATCCCATGAAGTGAGCTGTAGCTCAGGAAAGCTCATGCTCAAATAAATTGGTTCGTCTCTAAGGTGCCACAAGTTCTCCTTTTCTTTTTGCGACTAGGGGAGGCGAGGCAGGCCCTGGCTCCGCCCCGTGGCTCGTGCTCTCTTCCCATTGGTTCTCCCTCCGCCGGCTCCAGCTGTGCTGGGGGGGAAGGGGGACTGTCAGGTGACACAGAGGTGGCGGGGTGACCCGTGCGGCTGCCGGGGATGGGGCGGCTGCTGTGGCTGCTCTGCCTGGCCGTGGGCGGCAGCCGCTGGTGGCTGCGGGGCGCCCAAGGGAAGACGCTGCGGGGCCGCTTCTCCAGCGCGGGGGGCGGGGCGCAGCTGGCGGCGCGGTTCCAGTTCCACGGTAGGTGCCCGCCGCGGGCGGCCCCGACGTCGCTCCGGGCGCGGGTGGGAGCCGCGGGGCCGGTTTGCAGCGTGAAGCGCCGCCCCTGTCCCCCCAGCTGGGCTGGGTGGCGAGCCCTGCCTGGCGCCCCCGAGCTGCCCGCGGCTGGAGCCGGGCGCACACGCCTGCCCGGAGCCTGCCGAGAGCCGGAGGGGCCCTGCCAGAGGTTTGGAAGAGCGACTAGGGCATGTCCGCTCGACAGCGGCTACAGCCCGAGCGTGAGCGCTCCCCACAGCCCTGCAAGGGTTTTTTCCATCGCTGTAACTAACCCGCGCCGCTTTGAGAGGCAGCGGCTGCTGGATCAAAGGAAATATTCTTCCATGGACTAGACTGTGCTGACAGAGTGGGTTAAGTCGAGGTAACTATGTGGCATAGGGCATGACATTTTTAATAGCCCTGAGCATTGTCCCTAAATCAACCTAAGTTTTAGGTATAGACCAGGCCTTGGAGGTAAACCATTCATGTCTACACTGTAATTAAACCCCCAGATCTGGCCTGTGCCTGCTGACGGGAGCTTGCGGGACTTGGGCTAAGGAACTGTTTAATTGCAGTATAGCTCAGGGATCAGCAACCTTTGGCCCGCGGCCCGCCAGGGTAAGCCCCCTGGCGAGCTGGGTCGGTTTGTTTACCTGCCGCAGGTTTGGCTGATTGCAGCTCCCACTGGCCACGGTTCGCCACTCCAGGCCAATGGGGGCTGCTGGAAGCAGCAGCCAGCACATCCCTCGACCTGCACCGCTTCCCACAGCCCTCATTGGCCTGGAGCAGCGAAACACGGCCAATGGGAGCTGCAGTCGGTCAAACCTACGGATGCAGCAGGTAAACAAACCCGCCCGGTTCACCAAGGGACTTACCCTGGCGGGCCACATGCCAAAGTTTGCCGATCCCTGGTATAGATGTTTGAGCTTGGGCTGCAGCTGGACCGCTGGGATCCTCCCACCTCACAGGTTCCGAGAGCCAGAGTACAAATGTCTACACCACAGTTAAACAGCCCCTTAGCCAGACTCCTGCAACCCTGAGTCAGATAAGAAGGACCGGCCATGGGTTTTTGATGTCAATGTACACATACCTGAAGAGGCCTTTCAGCAATCCCAAGCCATCTAGTTTGCCTCTGCTAGTGACCAAATATCATAATTATATAGTAATGAAAGCACATTAAGAACTAGATACTGTTATCGGTCTGTCTCAATGACTTTGCACAGGAGGTCACTATCAGTATCTCCATTTTACAGAAAAGGTGGGGAAAGTGGGGCACGTGGAGGATAGCGACATGTCCAAGGTCACATAGCAAGCCAGTGGCAGAGCCAAAAGCTTTATGAGCTTTGGCTACAAAAGAATTACCATGTAATAATAATTTTTAAAGAAGTATCTTGAGGGTATTTTGCATTATGTTTGCTTAATTTTAACAGTAACTCAGATTATGTGTTGAATCACTAAATAGTAACTAGAATGATACTTAATACTCTACATTCTTCAATCAGAAAGTTTCAAGGAGCCTGGTAGCTTTCTCCACTTACTATTAAAATATCAGGATGTTCCCAGGATGTTGCCCTTAAAATATCAGGATGTTTCCCAGAAAATGCCTCTTCTGCAAACACCTCTGTATAGAGGTATCAGTTAATAATAATAATGATATAAAACAATTTTTGTCTTTTATTGGGACGCATGTTTAAGAAAGATCTATTTATGGAGATGAAGAATTATTAGCCTGTACCATAGACATGCATAGTGCTTTACAGATATCTAAGACATTGTCTCTGTCACCAAGTTCTTACCATCTAAGACCGCTATCCTCCAACTAGCTCTTTGTGGTGAACCCCTGCTCCTGTGTAGAGCCCCACTGAAGTCAATGGGAGTCCACTTGCTCAGAACCAGTTGCCGCATTAGTGCTTGAATTAGATACAAGTGTAAGAGATAATACACAAGAGGGTGGAAAAGAGGTGGATGTCTTTACAGTATAAAAGCCAAACAATACCGACATAAATTTGAAGACATTTATATTTTTGCTGTTTGTATTGTTTTGACTAAATCTGACTAGAATTCTCGATTCTAAGAATTTTTTTCTTTTAAGAACGGGGGGGTATGTATTATATTTAATATAAAGACCACATGATGGTGTGGAACAAATGGATTTATTGGGATGAATTTGAGGATATCTGACTTAATCACAAGTGATGAAATATTGAGTGCTGCAAGTTATCCTCAAACAAATAAAACTTTTTCACCATGCCATGTATTTGCCGTATATGTCTATACACACCCCATGTTACTGACTAACTTCTAGAAGTTCTTTTTAAAAAAAAAATTGGTGCTGTTTTGTATTCGTCCACCTTATATTTAAATATCTTAGTTCTCATCAGTTCTACTCTACAGTAGATCATAAAATAATCATAAAAAGAAAAGGAGGACTTGTGGCACCTTAGAGACTAACAAATTTGTGAGAGCATAAGCTTTCGTGAGCTACAGCTCACTTCATCGGATGCATACAGTGGAAAATATAGTGGAATCTCCCCTCCGATGAAGTGAGCTGTAGCTCACGAAAGCTTATGCTCTAATAAATTTGTTAGTCTCTAAGGTGCCACAAGTCCTCCTTTTCTTTTTATGGATACAGACAAACACAGCTGCTACTCTAAAACCTAAAATAATCATGATTTTAAAGATTAGTGTCTCAAGCCCTTCCAGTTTTAGAATCAAGTGCTAAATTCCATAGGGAATTTTGGAATTTATTCTTTCTAACCCTTAGGATTATATAATATCGGATGTTTAACCACTCACTAGTACAAAACTGAACAGAACAATTCCTGGACCTTGGGCAGATGTAAATTGGGAGGAAAGGGGGACACAATTACCCCTGGAAGACTTTTTTTTTTTTAGTTGTTTAAAGTGTAACATAAACATACGTTTATGTTACTAAGGCCAGAGTTAGGATTTCGTGCAAGTTGAGATCATAAGATGGTGTTCAGTGGAGAGTAGTTGGCTGGGCTTGCAAAGGTTTTGTATTCAATTTGACAGCTTTTGTCTGTCTGTAATATAATAACTTTCTAACACCACATGCAATCAGTTCCAAAATTTCAGGGAATGTTCTTGGCATCAATGGCCATTAGTCCCTCCAGTTCCCCTGCCAGCTCTTTAGCACAACCACCACCTTAAACACCTCTGCAATTGTTAGTAGAACAAACAACAGGTTGATGGCACCTTTTAACGCCTTCCAGCATAACAGTACCCCATCTTGTCTCTGCCTATTCTCCCAGTAGAGTGTAACATGTTGACACTCTGGATAACTTATCGCTCAGACAGAAGGGGGGAGGAGGAAGAGGCAGGGAGACATGCACATAGCCCCTGGTGTGGGAGGGGGAATGCGGGTTACAGAGAGCCTCTTCCTATGAGGGGTATGGAGGGCAGGGGGAAGTGGAAATCGGAGTGCACTCAGAGCTGCTGAGTGTGGGGTATGGGATAGGAGAATGGGAATCCATCTTGTATGGGAGGAGGTGAGATTGGAGGGCCCCCTTAGCCCCGGTCAGGAGGGAGGTGTGGGGGAGTTGCAGGGTGCCCCAGAAATAAAGGGGAATGGGAGGATGGCACACAGGGAGCATGTGGGAGGGGTGGAATACAGGGATGCATTCCACTCCTGGTGTGTGCATTAAGCTTGACCTTAAGATGGTACAAAGCGTGCAACTCCCTGGTTTACCTCAATGACTGTATGACTAGTCAGTAGGTATGCTAAGGAGGTTGGCTGGAGCTAGAGGAAACCACTTCCTCCAGCTTGTCTGTAGGGGGCTGAAATTTGAAGGAGCTTGACAAATGTAAAATTACCAACAGCAGAACAAAGAAGCCAGGTGTTGTGGTGGGACAGACAACTTTGAGGGATTCTCAAAGCCAGTCAGGAACTTTGAGTAGGAGAGAAAGGAAGAGATGTGTATATTTTCATAGCAGGGGGTGGTTAGCTGCAGGACCAACCAAGGTCAAATCAAGATGACCAAGAGGGAGGCTTGGTAATTGAGAAGGCAAACTATGTCCTCTGACCGAGGAACCCTGGACAGCACCAGAGGACTCTGATTCCAAGCCAAAGAATGATCTGAGGTGGTAAGAAAACCAAGGCAGGAAAATGCATGCAGGGTTTATTATTTTTATATAGATGTGCATATTTCTTGTGCAATTGAATAAAGAGCAATAGTGATTTAGACTCTTGTGCAAAGTCAGTCTCTGTGTTATGTGTTCTACCCATCGCATGCACTTGAAGAATTAACCTGTGGACCCCAGAACACCAGAAGTAATGGAGTTCTGGGAGAGAAGCTACAACGGAGACTGAGGGGTCAGTATTGATCCTAAGGGCTGATCAGTTGTACTGTGAGGTCTCAGCTCTCCAGAGAAGATGTGATATAGGAACTGCACCTTAAGAGTATGAGTAGGGATTCCAGACCAAGGGCAGTGACTGGACCATGTTTATGCTCTGGTGACCTAAAGCACACACAGCCCAATGAAGTGAGCCCCCTTATGGTAGTCTGGAGAGTGACCAAGAGTGGTCCATCTGGATCTGTGACATGCATTAAAAAGGTACTGTGATAGCTGTTTAGGTACTCTTCCAGTTTTATTTGTGTGATCCACATAAGACGAGTAGTTGATTTTATTTTTTTAAATATCAAGGCGACCATGCTGTTCTGTATATCAGAATCAACAATGTAGCAGCAGCTGTTGGAAAAGAGGCCAGACTTCACCTTTTTCAAGCACAGGAATGGCTAAAGCTTCAGGACAGCACCCAGGATTATAGCTGTGGAGAGAAACTGTCCAGAGCTCAGCTGACAAGTGAGTTTATTCTTTTTTTTTTTTCACCTTGAAGTCTGGGTTCTTTTAACTGTATGTATTTCGGATCAATTCATGGTTTAAATGAAATCAGTAAGACTTTTGTTACCAACTTAAGTGAAACAAGAACGGTCCCTTCAGTATTTTTTTGTTTAATTACAAAGAGATGTAGTTGGTTTGCTTGTGTCATTTTTGGAGGATTTTTTATTTTACAAATGATGTCTTGTTAAACAGCTGGGATACTAATATTCCTTGACAAACCAATTAGTGAAACATTTTAAGATAGGTAATTTTATATCAAGGCTCATTATAACCCAATGCTTTCATTTGCTTAGAATTTTGAAAAATACTAGTATTTGGCTGGTTTCAGAGTAGCAGCTGTGTTAGTCTGTATCCACAAAAAGAAAAGGAGTACTTGTGGCACCTTAGAGACTAACAAATTTATCTGAGCATAAGTTTTCGTGAGCTACAGCTCACTTCATTGGATGCACTTGCATCCGATGACGTGAGCTGTAGCTCACGAAAGCTTATGCTCAGATAAATTTGTTAGTCTCTAAGGTGCCACAAGTACTCCTTTTCTTTTTAGTATTTGGCTGAAATTTTCCATATGTGGGCTCCACCTGGAGATTATTCCCATATCACAATAGTGTACGATTGTTATTGAGTGTGCAGAAAGTCTTAACAGAAGACCTTAACAAAGTGCAGTCTCCAAGCCAGTTTTCAGAATAAAATCACTATGATGTATAAATGTTTGGGGGACCTGAGGGTGAGGGCAGGAATTAGTTCTTCAGATGCACAGTTGTTGTTGGTTTTTTGCGGGGGCGGGGGGGCGGTGTTATTAGTCTCTTTTTGTTAGAACAGGAGAAAACAGGTTTTATAAACAAATAATTGCAGTAGATTTCACTAATTATGAATACATTTAAGAAATGTTAAGAGGTCTCAGTCATAGTAAAAAGTGCAAGTCTGTAAGGTGAGTATAATGTCTTGTCAAAGAGTAAGGCTTCCCTAAGGGTAGCTTTTTATCTGAACCTCCCCCCTCCGTGTTTTCTTTCACACCTCCTCGTACAATAATTTTCGCATTTCTCATGTCCTTCTGTAAGTTTCATCGCTCTAAAAATTAATTCAAGACTGAATTGTGCGGTCTCATTCCACAAAGTTTGTTTAATATTAATTTCCTTTTACCATTTAATTCTGCAGTTAACTATTCATCCTTGAATCTCTAATTCAAGTGTTGTTAATATTTGAGCTGATAATTATACCAGTATAGAATATGCAAGCTGTGTTGTCGTCTTTTGTTTCTAGAAGAATAATTCAATTTGTTAAGAGGTTCTTTTCCCCTATCCCTGTCGAAAATGGCATTGTTCAAAGACAGGAAAACAAAAATAAAAGGCCAGTATCACTTCTATGGAAGTGTGAATCTGTCAGCCTTTGATGTACAAAACATTGAAGACCCTCATAAAATTCAGTTTCAAAGAAGTGTTAATCAAGATAATGCTTAATTTGTGTACTGATCTAAGTAAAAAAAGTGCAAATGGTAGAACAGCCAAACAATAAAGCATTCAATAGCTCTGATTAATTATTTAATTGAAAGATACAGATACTAAAAGCATTATTTTGTACCATTTATTGAGTATAACATTAGACATTCTAATTGAAGCAAGCATAAAGTTTCCTTTTGAAATTAAGCAGATATTAGGGACTTCATTCATCAGTATCTTACATGAATGTAGCTCTATTTTCATATATTTCCCTCAGGCAACCAAAAGACCTACCATCTGTATGGTAAATAAGTGACCTCTTTGCATGTTGTCAGAATGGAACCTTAACGCAATCTGACTGTGGTGCTGCTTCTAAGGCTACCATGTTCTGAAAACAGTTGCCTTTGTATCAGCTGTTACTATACCTATGCATGATTGATGGGACATGGATAACACTAGAATAATACATGCTTAAAAGAGCTACGCGACACACATTGCATTTATTACATATGGTGGTGGTAGTTCAGTGTACAGTCCCCCAGTGGTACTCACTGCTGGTTGCTTCACGAGAACACGGAATGTGTTTCTTCCTGAATCCGACTGTTGATTCTCTTGAAGGATAAGGGAAAATAGACCTTTAAACTTTATGCCAGGTACAGTAATTTAATTACAGCTATTCATAGTGGGTTTCCATAAAGGGAATTAGACTCTCTAAGTTGTTTGTCTCAAATATCCTGGGGCAGTGTGTACTACAAGGTTTTTTGTGTGTAATTTAAGATTATTATTTTTTAATTCGCAAGTTTGCTGGTCTTCCAACTTAGACCGCTCTCTTTGTATTTTGTGAAAGGGTAGCAAGGTACTCAAGTGTCCTCTATGCTATTAATTAGTTTATAAATTTGTCACTTCTTTCAGTTCTCCTTTCCCATCTAGTCATTGTTTTTTGAATCCATAATAGGGATTTCACCCCACATTGCTAGTTGTTTAGTCATCTTTTCATTGCTAGTTTGTCTCCAAAATAGCTTCAGAGAACAAATACTATTTGCTTTGTAGCACTGAAAGCTTGAAAAGAGATCCCACAAAAATAATGCAAGTGTAGAACAAGAACCTTGTATTTCAACAATAATCTGTAATTCTGTCAGGGACCAGGAAAACTCTCAACACAAGTGATTTTTTTTCTCCCCCTTTGTACCCAGTCACGCTATTCTTGTCAAGGAAAAGAAATAGATGGAATAAAAACCATTACATGTACAACACAGAGAGGCTGTTTAGGAGCAGTTAATGAAAATATTGCTTCAGTGTGGCTATGATTATTAACTGAAATGTTAGCTACATAAAGTAAAGTCCCTTTTAGGGGACAAAGTCAGTTTAGGCACCTGATTTTTCATTCATGACTTACACGGGTAACTCAGTAATGCTCTAGATGCCCCTATTTCCATTTTTCTCTGTTCCCTTTTAGTCTTGCTTCCCCACCCCAAACTCCAGCCCATCTACAAGTTTCATTCAGCAGAATCTGCAGGAAACCCACAAAGATGAATACCAGGTATATATAACTTTTTAAGTGTAGTGCAATTTGAAAGCAGCTACATTTTTAGAGAAGATGGTCTCATTCCTCAGACCCAGTTCCACCTGCTAAATGAAACCCACTCCTTCATTAGCATAGGAGAAAAGGAAGGTGGTGCCAAATTAGACAGTACGTCACTAGATCTTCAGTATTTACAGCCACTGGCTGTGGATAGAGTGCTGTCCCCCAGCCAGCCCAAGATTCGAGAAGCTGAAAGATGGATGAGAGTGTGTGTTCCAAACACTTCCTAAATTGCATCAAGTTTAAACTCAGCAAAAATGAAGATTTAGCCCAGAGTCTTTCTTCATACAGTTTTATGGTATGCTTCAAAGTAGAGACTGTTCCTTTTTGGAGTTCAGGTATAGTGTATAGAAATATGATTGATGCTCTAAAATTAAATAGGTACATGACCCGGGAACTCCTTAGTGCCAAATGGCGAAGGGCACAAAAGTGCATAGGGTTGTACAGGGATCCACTGAATAATAGTTCCCCGAAGGTTGGCATGTAAGGTGTATACCGAGAGCCAGTTGCCCACTGGTTGTCATTGTAATTGCAAAATGGTACAGATAATATTTAAAGAGCTATGTATCTATACTGAAATTTATGTCCTTAAGGTCCTGGAGTTAAGGCAGGTCACCAGAAGATGACATCTCTCGGAAATGTTCTCTTCAGACAAGAGATAACAAATGCTTATCTCCCTATCTGGCCATTTGTATATTTGCATAGTAAGCCAGGTGCAAATTAAGAGATTGTGAAATCTGAGAGGGTGAGGGGAGAGAGAGAGAAATTAAAAAGAAACTATGTAGGAAGAAACAAACAGCAGGGGAGTGTCCTGTTCATGAGTAAAGACAAAGGATTGGTCTGATCTATCTGGGAATGCAAAGAGGCACACTGAATCCTTCAGGTAGGAGGCAAACTGACTGTGTCCATCTCATGAAATAAGGGTAACAGCCAGTCTGTCTGACTGCAAAGCACTGCAAGGTTTTTTGGTGAGCAATACAATGCAAGATGAGAGTTTCTTGTTAATTAAATCTAGGCTCTAGAATGTGGGTTTATGATTTTTTTATATATATAACCATTTGTCTCCAATAATAATTACTGCTATTACTTGAATTTCCAGGGTTTGTTAAATAAACGTTTATTTTTAATTTCATAAAGCATAATTTAGTGCTGTGTGTTAAGCAAAGCAGTGATCTGATGTGGAACTGGCAATCTGGGATGTATTGTTTCTTTGGAAACAGTAAATCTCTGAACACTGCGAGTGTCCAGTGAACTAGATGCTGGACACTCCAGGGAGATGCTTCTTAGACGGTTCAAGGGTTGGAATGTGAAAATCGCTAACCCCATTAGGGCCTGCAAAACCTGGAGGGGAGTGCCTATGTTGCCCACTGGCGCTGGAGTTGGGGAGCTGACCCTTGGTAGACATAGAGAAGGCTTCCTCATGCTAAGGGCAGGTAGTAGGAAGGTACCTCTCAACCTGGGTTCCCCTGGGAAGCATCACAGTGTATTATATCTGAGAAGATTTAATAGTTTTCAGAAGAGTTAGTTTGTAGTACATTAAATGCTTACTTCATTCTTTGTTTCTTTTTAAAGTGCCTATGAACCACACAGAGCAAAATCTGACAGTGACCCAGATTCCATATCCAGAAACGTGGTATGTGTTTTATGTAGACAAGTTTACCTGCGAGGAGAATTATGAAAATTCTGAATCCGAGGATATTCAATTTGAAATGGTGTTACTAAACCCAGATGCAGAAGGGAATCCATTAGATCACTTTAGCGCAGGGGAATCGGGTAAGATTTTTTTCTTGAAATTAGATCAATAAGATAAGGATCTGATCATCAAATAAATCAGTGCTCACTGTGTTTAAAAAAGCGTGTATTTGGATAAATGGATGGCTAAGCCTTTCACTTGTAGGACAATACTTTCTCAGAGAGTAGGCAATCCTGATGAATTTTTCTAACATGAGCCTTTCTAGATCTTTAACCTAATTATCCAACTCTGGTCTAATCAGAGAAATAGATGAATTTAAAAGGGTAACATCAAACAGTCAGCTTGTCCAGTGTTTATCTTGAAATAACTGGGATCTGCTATGGCAAATTGAAGTTTTATGTTGCTGCAGTACAAAGTAGTTGTATTGTAATCCAATGTGGGCCTTTTAGAAATAGTAAGAAAAATATGATTTATGTAATGATTATCTTCAAAGTGCTTTACATGCATGAATTCTCAACTCCCCAAAATGGGATTGGCCTTGATCAGTTATATACCTTTAAGAGAGTACTTCATTTGTTAGGTTCTCATTTGTTGCATATTCAACAGTCCTGATAATCTAATTCACCATATACTTTATTCATTTGACATGGTTAGTTCTTTAGGTGCATTTATGGGTTTTATCTCTTAGTGTCAAGGATAGAACTGTCCTAGAATTAAGATGTTCACGATAAAGATTGAAGTTTATTGAAAATTTTGGGGAGCTTTATTGCTTGTTTAGTTTTGAACTTTTCACCAAGAATGTAGACTGCAGGAACAAGTGAAACCTCAAGCTAGCACTAAAATCAGTAATATGTTGCATTACCTTCTATAATGGGTACCTTTAGGCTTGGACTTAAAATCATTCTATATAGATTTGTTTCATTGTACCCTATTAATATTTTCATAATACTAATATGGTATGGAATTTAGTGTATTAAATTTGTTGTATTGTTTCAGTTGATTGATTGGCTATCTTGTGACAAATCATCGTGGTTGATCTACTGTCAACTTAAACTTGATCTCATTTCTCCCCTTACACACACCCATCACGTAGTTCAAAACCTCATTGTCATCTTTGACTCCTCTTTTCCCCCTACTACTTCTTCCTCATATCCAGGCTGTCACCAAATCATGTCAGTTCTTCCTGTACATCGCTTCAAAAATCTATGCTATCTCTCTCTACCTCTAGAATGCACTTGTCCAAACCTTAGTCCTCTTCTCCTCCCTGCTTCTTGTTTTAGTCATCTTCAATCTGTCCAAAGCACTGCTGCTAAAATCTGTACTTCACAGATCTCTCTGTGGCACTCCCCTCTTCATATCCATTTATAGGCTTATTCTTGCCTTTCACAAGGCAAGCCTTGTATTGTTGAAGGAGCCTGAGTGGGATTTTAGCATGGAATGCTTTTGCATCTGCACAGTTATATCCCTAAACACGTTCCCATTACCATTCTCACTCTTTGTGTGCTTGTTAAAGCCTTATTCCTGCCTCCTGTTTTTGTATCCTTCATCCACTTTGTCTTCATGCCTTATTCCATGCCTTCCATCTTTTATGCTTGGAATTTGCTCCCTCCTTGTGCATCGTACACCTCGTCTACATGCAGTTTTTGTATTGATATAACATTTGGGTATAAAAAATCACACCCTTAATCAAAAGAGTCATATCAATACAACCCTCCCCCGAGTGGATGCAGTTATATTGGTACAAAGAAGCTATATTTGTTAAGGCACCATTAGCGTCTTAAGTGTCCACACTGTGCGGGTTGTACCACTGAACTAGACCAATATAGTTACAGCAGTGCAATTTATATTTAGACAAGCCCATGCTATCCGCACTAAATCGCTCCTTAGAAACACTGTGACTGCTTCCAAGAATTAGACATGAGTGTGTATAGAAACTATACACATGCAAAATACCTGCACTACAGGCTGAAACTTCAGCCTTCATTGTGTATGTTTGAATTGGATTGTCTGAGTAATTTAGGCTGTAACTCACTGGAGCAGGAACAGTGTCTTCATCTGTTTGTACAGCAGTCAACTTGCTGTTGCTACCCAGTAAGAAATCAGCCCTAGGAAAACTGTTTGATCAAATCTGACACCTTTGCCAATGAAGTACCCTAGGCGTAGACTAATTCCCTTAGTCATTTATTTAGTCCTAGTCTTCGCCTTCTCTTCTTCGGCTGTCCCTCGATGCAAGGTTGATGTCTGCCAAAGGGGTTCATTGGTGGATTTTTTAGGTGGCCGAGGAGCCCAATTCGTGCCCTGCAGATTTTCCCACAGCAGTGACAGGTCTGATGTTGGAGGAGACGGTTGTTGGCTGGACTGTTGTGTCCTTTCTTTCCTCCATGAGCACATCTGTTCTCCTCAAAGCAAGCTGTGGGTCGGTGTATGGTGTGGCACCACTGTGTTCTGTTCCATGCCAAATCCTCCCAGTTTGTTGGGTTGACGTGTCCCTTTTTAAAGTGTTCTTTCAATATGTCTTTGGAGCGCTTTCGCTGCCCTCCGCAAGCCTTTCTTCCCTGACTTAACTGAGAGAACAGTACTTGCTTTGGGAGGCGAGTATCAAGCATACGTACGGAGTTGGTGTTTCATGACCTTCACTTCTACACTGCTGATGTTGGCTGCAGAGAGAACGCTGATGTTAGTGCTTTGGGTCTTCCCAACTGATCCTGAGAATACATCTGATGCAGCGCTGCTGGAACCACTCCAGCCATTTGAGATGTCGTCTGTAGGTTACCCAGGCCTCACACCCATAGAAAATGGTGGCGATGACAACTGCCTGGTAAACCAAGATCTTGGTGCCTATTTGCAGATGCCTATCATTGAAGACTCATATGAGTAGTCTTCCAAAGGATATGCTGGCACAGCAGATCCTGTATTTGATTTGTGTGTCAATGCTGGCTGTTTGGGAGAGGTGGCTGCCAAGGTATGGGAAATGGTCCACGTTTTCCAGAGGTTCTCCTCCGATGGTGAACATAAGAACGGCCATACTGGGTCAAACCAAAGGTCCATCAAGCCCAGTATCCTGTCTTCTGACACTGACCAATCCCAGGTGCCCCAGAGAGAATGAACAGAACAGGTAATCATCAAGTGATCCATCCCCTGTCGCTCATTCCCAGCTTCTGGCAAAGAGAGGCTAGGGACCCCATCCTGACTAATAGCCTTTAATGGACCTATCCTTCATGAACTTATCTAGTTCTTTTTTTAACCCTGTTGCAGGCTTGGCCTTCACAACATTCTCTGGCAAGGAGTTCCACAGGTTGACTGCGTTGTGTGAAAAAATACTTCCTTTTGTTTGTTTTAAACGTGCTGTCTATTTGTGGAGTACAAAGAGTAGTTTGTGCAGTTGAGGGCTGGTAGAGTACCTTGGTTTTCCCAATGTTGAGACAGACACCCAGGCCGTGATAGGCATCTGCAAAAAGATTTAGGGTGCTTTGCCTCTGTGTGTGCGAGAATGACACAGTCATCCGCATACTGAAGATCAGCGATGCCAGTTCTTGTGATCTTAGATTTTGTTTGGAGACGCTGGAGATAGAGGAGTTGGCCATCCATACAATACTCAATCCCAATTCCATCAGGAAGGTGGTCGCAGATGAAAATCAGGATCATGGCAAGGTAAATGGAGAAGATTGTTGGAGCAATGAAGCCCTACTTGACACCATTGCGAACGATTAATGGTTTGGTCTCTGAGCCGTTGCACAGAATGGTGGCAGTCATCCCATCATGGAGTAGTGTGATGATGGAAATGAATTTCTGTGGACAGCCAAACCTACACAGTACCTTCCATAGGCATCACGATTGATAGAGTCAAAAGCCTTGGTTAGGTGGATGAATGCTATGAACATTCCTGGTGTTGCTCTTTGCACTTCTCCTGAATCAGTCATGCCACAAAGATCATGTCAGTTGTGCCTTGGGATGGCCTGAAGCCACACTGTGATTTGGGGAGGAATTCCTTGGCAAGGGGGAGGAGGCAGTTTAGTAGGATCTGGGCAAGGATCTTCCCTGCAATGCAGATGATGGCAGTACCTCCTGTAATTCTTGCACAAAGTTTTGTTCCATTTCTTGAATATTGTAACAATCTTGGCGTTCTTAAAATCATGTGGAATTTCTTTGCAAGTCCAGGTTTTGTCGAGGATTTGGCAAAGTTTGTGCTGAAGCATTGTTCCACCAGCTTTAAAAACCTCAGCTGGGATGCCGTTTGGGCCTGGTGCCTTGTGATTTTTTTTTTTTTTTTTTTTTTTGTCTGGGTGATGGCATGCTCCTGGACTTCCCCTCAGAAGATGGAGGATCAGCACGGTGTTGCATTGCTGAGCATTGTGGAATAAACTCGATGGTGTCTTCAGAGACTGTGAATTCACAGTTTAGTCGGCTCTCAAAGTGCTCCTTCCAGCATTGTTTAATGGCTGCATTGTCCTTGAAGAGGGTGGAGCCATCCTGGGAACGTAAGGGGGTTGGCCTTTGGAGCTTGGCCTGCATATAGCTTTTGTTGCTTTGAAAGAAAGCTTCTCTTGTCATCCTGATCTACGAAACCCTTGATCTCAGAGGTTTTGTTTTTGACGTCATGTAGCCTCCTTTGGACTTCGGCTTTGAGCAAGTGATAGTCCTAGTAATTCTTTAAGAAATATATAAGATTTATGGTACAAATCCAGAATACACTGTGTGAACTTTCTGCCAATGAAATTTCAGTTAAGTATGTCTAAATCATCAAGGACAGAATAAAGCAAAGATTCCCCCTATAGCTAGGGTCCCAGCTTCTAAAGCCGTACAATTATGGTAGTCCCATCTTTTATTGAAAAAGTACAAATTTCCAGCCTTCAAGGTTACAAAGAAAAGCTTGAAAAAGTGACCCAAGCATAACAGATGAAGGCTGATATGAACTGCTTTACATATCTCAATTAAGAGTTAACTCCAGGGCCCACTGCCTTGGGAGGCCCCACCAACACAACCCTAACAGGAGACTATGTTACAGAAAAAGAGTGCAGTGAGCCTGGCATGCCTTCCCACGCAAATAGATTTAGCTCAGCAGGTGAGCTAAGTACTGGTTGTCCTCTTGCTACTCTCAGAGGGGGGAGAGTGAGTGGAGGTGGGGGAAAGGGGCTCTGTGCTCCTGCCTCTGAAAGGAGGGGAACCCCTATGTCATGGTGTTTCTAGGGTTCCAGATTGCATTAATCCAACTGTAAATCAGTTTGCGTGACATTTTCAATTTCAGTAGAGCTATTTATGCAGTAAGGAACAGCCCAGTGCAAGTAAAAGTGGTGGAATCTGGTACAATATACATATTTTCCCTATAAAATAAAGAACTATGAAGAAAGAAGAGAAATTGATAATCTAGATGGGAGAAACAGAAGGGTCTGTTTAGAAAAGGCTTGTAATGAATATCTCCTTATTAGCTTCTTAACAGTTGAGGTGTAAGGAGACTATAATTCCATCCACCATGTGTGTATCCATCATTGACCACCTTCAATCTTAATCTCTAGCTGCACTGGCAAATGTTCATACTTCATCCACACAGATCCCCTTCTTTGGTTAATAGACATGGAACCACGTATGCTTGTTCTAGATTTCCTATCCCATTTAACTAGCTGTTGGAAATTCTGTGACATAACTGTTTTCTATCCGAGAATGCAGATTGTTGAAATCAAAATGTTCTATGGAGATGGTCCAGTTTCAACAAAAGTCTGTTAGAAACCAGGTAGGTTTTCACTGGAAACATGTTGGTTTCCTGACAGCTCACCCATCAAGCTCATTGGCAGCCTGCCCGGCTTGCGAAGAGCCTGATTTCCCCCACACTGGCTCCCAAGTTTGAGGCTCCTTAGCAGCTTGGGCTCCCAGGGTCTGTGGTTCCAGGACAGTCAGCCAGGCAAACTGCCCCTGAGCCAGGGACCCCAAGTCTTTCCCTTTCAGAGAGAATTTTGAAACATTTGGTTTTCATTCCAAATTGGAACAAAACCAAATTTCAAAATATCAAAATCTTCCCCAAAATGGAATTACCTTTCTTCACACAGCTCTGCCTTTAACTTCTCCTTTGGACACAGGTGCTATCTGGGCTAAACATACTTCATTTTATGTGGTGTAAGAGTGACACCCAGTGGTTAGACAGGCTTACCTCAAATGTGTATCTGCTGTCTCTCCTCATCTCAGATCCTGTCTTTGAAGATAAATACAGTTTAAACTTTCACCTATTTATTGTAGATGTTCCTGACTACGCATTGAGCTAGGCTATGGTTTACTTTATAGGTAGGATTAGATTTTTATTGGTAAATACTGGTAAACCTCGACTTCACTATAGACACATATGACAAAAAAAAATTCCAGTGATGATGATAGAAATTTACAGATAGTCAAAGTATGAAAAAATTGGCTGAGAATTTATTAGCATTTGATTTAAGGATATTTACTTTGTATGTTTTGACATGTGCTGCTGACAGTTTGTGTTCGAATGGTTGTAAAGCTTTAACTTCTTGAATCTCAACGGTCATTAATAATTGTCTGACCCCTCCCCCCAATAATTTTGTGCAACTGTGAAAATTTAAATTGATAACTTTTAAGCCTTTTTTATGTTTAACATCAATGTTATCTGTCAAAGTTATTAAAAAAAATCAAATTCTGCCAAGCCTAGTTATAGGAAACTATTTACTATTTACGATTTTCCAATAATTCTTACATATGTTTGTGGGTTTTTTTAAAAGATAAATTGTTTACAGAATGCCTCTTTATATTCAAGATAGGTATTTTTGGTGGACAAAGACTTTACAGGTCAAATAATGACCAGCCACCTTAAAGAATTAAACTGACACATGAAGATTTTTTTCTTCTATTACTGTGTGGGAAGGATAAGAGAAAGTAGTTGAATGCTAATCCATCTTTACTATCACTTTTATGTTGCTATGTAGTAACAACTACATAACTTAATATTGCTTGTCCTGTAGTAAGAGCATCTTAGGTAGTACTTGTTATGTGCCATAATTCACTTTATTATATTAAACTGCATTTCTTCTCTTCCCAGGATTACATGAATTCTTTTTCCTACTCATCCTAGCATACTTTGTAGCTGCTTGCATCTATGCTCAATCACTATGGCAAACTCTGAAGAAAGGTGGACCTATGCATACTGTCTTAAAGGTTCTGTCAACAGTATTAGTGTTTCAGGCTGGCTCAGCATTTGCCAACTACCTGCATTTCTCAAGGTAACTTTAATTAGTTGTCTTTCCATTTTCAAATTCCCTTAAATGAGGAAGGAGGCAGCTGTAGAGATCAGTAAGGCTAGAGGTAATGATGGTCATGACCTGTGTTCCCTCTAAACTGCGCAGTTGGCTGGTCGCCCAGGAGTGATTCAAGTGCTGCGCACTTGATTAGCAGAGCTGCGCACATCCGGCAGCATGTGTTCAGGTGCCCCTCCCCCCACTGCTTTGCAACCACATTGCTCCTGCAGCTGCTCCCAGGATCCTCCTGCTGGCTATGCAGAGGGGGTGGGGGACTGTTGATGTCAGGGTGTACCCCATCTCCGCAGAACAGGGGAGAGGGGACAGCCTGGCTCAGGACTCGGAGCAGGAGAGAGCTGCTGCTGTCTGAGGTCTGAACGAGCCTTCCCTTCCCAGTGAATGAGCGCCTTAAAGAGACAGTGCATGGCATCTCTCAAGAAACTTCCCCAGCAGCCAGCACACACTGTCTCTTTCACGCTCGCCTCCCAACACATACTTGTATTTTTGTTGTTGTTACTTCTTGGTACTTTCTGCATTGCACATATATTCTCTGTAATTTTATTCTTTCAAAGTGTGTTGTTTTAGTTTTTTGACTGGTCTATGCATTTTGTAATTTTTATTTCTCCTACACTTAAATTTAATTCTTTGAGTAGCGAGTTCTAAAATGCCTAACCTGTCCTGGCTGGAGTAATTATCCCTATGGTAACTTTTAAAAAAATATATATATATATATATATATATAAGTTTTTCATTTATACTGGTGGTGCACATCTGCGTATATCTCGGTGCACATAGTAAAATTTATTCTGCATATGGATGGAAAAAATTAGAGGGAACATTGGTCATGACAAAACTTGTAGGGTTGACTTGTTACAACTATGTACACCTCTACTCCAATATAACGCGACCCAATATAACAAAAATTCGGATATAATGCAGTAAAGCAGCTTTCTGGGGGGCAGGGCTGCGCGCTCCGGTGGATAAGCGCATGCGCTCCGGTGGATCAGCTCTGAGCGGCGTGTTAAGGGTGCCGGGCCGGGGCTGAGGGGTTAGATAAGGGGCAGAGGGTCTTGGGGGGGCGGTCAGGGAGCAGGGGGGGTTGGATGGTTGGAGGTTCTGAGGGCGGGGCGGTCAGGGGACGGGGAACAGGGGCGTTGGATAGGGGTCCCGGGGGGGCCTGTCAGGGGGCGGGGGTGTGGATAGGGGTTGGGGCAGTCAGGGGACAAGGAGCAGGAGAGCTTGGATAGAGGGTGAGGTCTTGGAAGGGGTGGTTAGGGGCAGCGGGTCTCTGGAGGGGCTAGTCGGGACAAGGAGCGGGAGGGTTTGGATGGGTCAGGGGTTCTGAGAGGTCGGTCGGGGGCAGGAAGTGACTATTAATAACGGAAACGCCCGAGGCCAAAGCAAGTTCAATATAATGCGGTAAGAAATTTTGGCTCCCGAAGACCACGTTATATTGGGGTAGAGGTGTAGTTACTTAGCTGTATCTCTAAGAAGGAAGAGAAATTTAATACTGACTAACTTAGACCATTTATTATCTCCTGTTTTTTATTAGTTACGCTAAAGATGGAATAGGGGCACCTTTTATGGGAAGTCTGGCAGAACGTGAGTATGCTTAAGAAAACGTACTTTTTTCAACATGTTTATGCAGAGTAATGTAGAGAAATCGGTAAAAGCATATTAACCAATGCTAACATTTAGAGTCAGATTCTGATCTCAGGTATATATCACTACTTTATTTTAAATATATGAAACGCAGCTATTTCTTTAAATAGTGGCTTTTTTCTGGGTATTTTTAAGAGTTATGTAATTAAGGTGTGATTTAAGAATGCCCTAAAACCTAACCTTGCAGACATTTAAGCATATACCTTTTACTCAGCAAATATTCTCATTTAAGTCTAGGGGACTATCATATGAGTAAGGTTATCCACACGCTGCAGCATTTTGCTGGATTAAATTGTTAGTGTGTGTTTTCTTGAGTACTTATGCGTTTTAAAAATTTATATCCATTTTATAATTTATGGACGCTCCACTTCTGTATATAGAATTGTTTTTAATGGAAAATGCTGTATTTTATGGCACAAGCATTTTAAGATTAGAGCTGTGCCAAAAAATTACCCTAAGACTCAGTATTAGCACAAAGCAGCTTTCTTGATTTCATCCAGCTTTGTTGAATGTCTAACTGGAACCAAAACACCCTAGAGCATCCTGTCCCATCATGCACTAGTTATGTATAATCTTGGTTGGCTTCTTCACAGGCTGCCGCTGCTTTGGTTGTTCTGAAGTTCTGGTTAGAAATACAGAGGGGTTCTTTCCAAGATAATACATTTGCCTTTCTACTTGACTGAAACTTTCCAAGAAACTGGCACTCAGGTGTAACATGCAGTGTAAGAACCTAAATAGCAAAGTATCTCCTCACAAGTTATCACAAATCCTGGCCTGCTGTTCTGGACTTCCACAGACCTCTGGCAGCCGAATTGGATGTCCTTTGGAATCTTTTTGGGAGCTCTAGTGCAGCCCATGGTCCAGCGTTCACTTTACTCAATGATTATTAAGTCACTTGTTTGCATGATCTTATATCTTAAAATAGAGGGCTTGACAAAATTTGTCAGACTCCTACTGGCTGGAGGAATAAACCTACCTAACCACAGGTAGATACAACAGACAAGAGAGGAACTCCACCAGTGAGGCTCAGTAGCAAAAGCTAGATGAGAAGCCCTGACCTCCCGTCTAGAACCTGTTGGTTTAATATAAATCCCAGCACCTTTCTTCTTCTAGAGTGCAGTCTCTGAACCTTACTGCGGGGCTCCTTAGCAACTAGTAAGTGTCAGACATTTTTAAGCCAGTGGGACTACTTGTATTGCTGACTGATCACATGTGGGAGTAAGGATCATAATCTGGCCTTTAGGAAGGAAATCATACAAACTGTATTAGTAAGTGAATATGTTTGCTGAAAACTGAATAAAAGATTTGAAGTTGTGTGATGAAATGATGCAAATATAATTTTAGGCTCATGTCACCTTTATAGAATATTAACACTTACTAGTACACACCTGATAAAGTAGATCCCATAGTTTTGTTGCCAGGGGTCTGTAATCAGATTATTTTATCTGGCTATAAATGTGTTCAAGCTGAAGGTTTAGAATTTGTACAGGTTTTATAGTGGATTCCACTTTCTGACCCCTTCAGTGAGCAGAAATCTGACAGCTGTTAATCAGGTTGTCATTAAGTTATGGAAATTCCCGTAGATAAAGTTCCATTTCGTTAGACAGCAGGGATTCAATTTCTATGCAAAATAAAGGAGTCTTTGATTATTGCACTACTTTGGTAAGTGTGATTGTTTTACAAATCAATGTGTATGAAAGTGTTTGTTTTTAGCTTTAAGGATGACATATTTTCTTCTCTACCACTATGACATGGCATATAATTTTGTACACTGTCTCTCATTAGCCAACAGAAACAATATCCAGAGTCCAAATACTTGCAGTTGGAATTAACAGCCTCTTGGTGGCAGCTGGCCCCACAGTAACTTACATTAATTCTTTGTTTTGGACAGTTGAACTAGTGAATCCAAACTGACTGTGCATTAGCCATGTGATTAAACCCTTTCTTTGGCCTCCAGAGGTGAGGTTAGATGGAATATATGAACCTACTCAGATCTTCTTTGCTGAGGCCACGGCTGTGCACTTCCTTGTATATGTTGGGTTGCTGCGTACTGTGGGTTTACATTCTTTTCTTGGGGTAGTATTCACATTGCAGCCCCCACCAGATCTTCATATCCTCTTAATTCAAGAGGGTAGTTTCTTCTCTTTGTCTCATTATCTTTGCTTTAAGAATAGTTTAATTTAAAAGGTGTTTTGGCTCTGAGAGTTTTCCTCCCTACTCCTTTCTTTTTGTGATAATAGTTTCCAAAGGAAGCAGGAGGGCAGAATGAAAGGATAGAAATATGGAAGATTTCTTACTGCCACAACCACAGCTCTGAGGGATGGATAATACCAAGTGTAGGTTGCAGAAGTGCAACAATCTCTTCTAGCTGCTACTGCTCTCAATGCATTTTTTTTTTTTTTTTATGTAAAGAGTGAAATCCTGATTATATTGAAATCAGTGGCAAAACTCACATTGACTTCAGTGAGGCCAGGATTTCACTCCAGATATCTGGTTCTGGCACTATCCCAATATCTTTCTACAACTTCTCTTATAACCTAAGGGCCTGCTTCTACAACAGTTTAAGCATGTACCTTCACTCACATGAATAGTTCCATTGACTTCAAGCACTGTGAGAAGTCAGTAGATCCTTTTAAGTTTAGGCAGCTTCTGAATGTGAGACTCAAACAGTGATTTTTCTGGATATTGGAAAGCCTGATGAGAGAAATGAATGATGAAGAAAGCAGGTAAATTTCATACCAGCTGAGTCTGTGCATGGCTCTACACTGAGCTGTGGTACTGGTGGGAGAGGCGTTTTGAAAATCTCATCAAACAGTAAGATAACCTTATTGGTCTCAACCAAATTACAAAAGTTATCAAAGGGGACAAAAATAATATGATTTTATCCAAGAATCCACGTACTGCATTATGGAAAAAAGGAAACATTAAGACACATTGAGCTACCAGTAGAGTTTATTCAGCTCTCAATCTGGTATTCCACACACACAAATGCCACAGAACATTTTACAATCTCTAACTCTGAGCTGTGATTAAAAGAGATTCTGTTTGTCCATAGTTTGTTAGTAGGGAAGAGGTTATCTTTAAGAACGGTAGAGTAGTCACTTTTCTTATTCATCTAGATTTTCAAGCTGTTTTGTTTTCAGTCATCTCCCTGTTTTTGATTTTTCTCTGCCATGGCAGATGAATGCCATATCTACAGCCAAATACTGATGGCATAATAAAGTTGATAATGCCACTCTACAGAATAGCGGTCAGAGCTTGTTCCTGAAGCAGTTGATCCAGTACTGTAGACCTGATTTCAAATAACCAAAATAATTCATGCTGCCTCCTCACCTATAAGCCTGGGAACCCAATATTATTTTGCTCAGATAAATGTGGTTTTATGATTTTAAAGATAGAACTTAGTACATCTTTATTAAAATGGCCTGAAAATAATTTTTAAATAAGCAAAATGAGGACTCCAAATACTGGAATCGTTAAGGGTCAATAAACTACCTTTAATACTATATAAATCTCAGGGGCAGTATCTTGGGTCTTAATTATTTAACATCCATGTTTTGCTATTATTACCAAACATGAAGGAAGTACTCTCACTGACCACCATTTACCATAAATATAATCCCTTGAGTGGGCATATAGCCCATAACATTTTGAAGACATTTTTTGTGTGTGAAAAATACTTAAATTTGTCTGTGATACAGAAATAATGCCATTATTTCTATGTTAATATTTCTGTTCAAAGTTTGTTTGTCTCGGAGTCTTCCATAACAAGTTTACTCAGTTTATTAAAACTAGAGAGCTGATTGATCTAGCAAAGCTACACCAACACTGTCAGAAACTCAATCCAAGAACTAAAAGTCAAGCAATGTTCTTTCTGAATGGTTCATTTGGTGCTGGTGGTAATAAATGTGTGACTGGAGTATAGTTAGTAATCCATTTTCCTCTCCCCTAGCAGTAGCACCATTGGAAGGCTAATAGGAGTTAAAGGTTGTAATAAAAGTTTTTTTAAAAAATTCCCTTTGCTGGAGTGAGCAGATATGACAGCACACAAACGCACACAGGGATCAGAGTTGCTGATTAAGAAGGTGCTTGTACACATAGCTGTCAGGTGGGGCCAAGCAGTGGCAAAAAAATGGAGAAGCTCCCACAGTGAAATTAGGAAAAAGAAAGTTTATTTAAATTCCAAAGTTAAACCAGTTAAGCAAGGACTAACACCCCAAATGAAGTGTTGGTCAGGGTTAGTCACAAGCTAAGTTAGGAAACCCCAGTCAGTCTTTGGTTATTCTGTAGACAACTCAGAAACAAAAACCCCCTCAAGTTTTTCCTCAGGTTTTCTCTTACCTCACTGAGGCCTGGACGCATCCTTTCCCACTCACCAGCTGGTCAAGCCACTTATAAAATGAGCCATTTCACCAGCCAGTAGAAGACCTCAGACCTTTCAAATCCAGTTTCCTCTGATTCTAGAAAGAGTGTCTTCTGTTTCGTAGAGACGCCCCTTGTGAAACCGTGACTGCTCTGCTTTTGTAATCTTCTTGATTATGTACTATAGGTGGAGCCCCTCCCCGGGGTTTGGCTATGGTAGTAGGTGCCACAGGATAGGGTTCTTTTCATTTGCTGTCTCCAGGGCCAATCACTCACCCGTTTCTGCCATGGCCCAATATGGGGTTTGTAAACTTCATCACAGTGCCATGGGACATAGTAATTTTTCCAATCGTGCCTGCATTTTAAATATGAATGGTCAGAGTTTGTCCTCACTTCCACCTGTGAATCAGTGTTCAGAGAGTAGAATTTGTCCTAAATGTGTGTTTCTGTTCAGATTGATGTATTGTTCCTTAAGAAAGATACAGCTTAACTTAAAGAAATTACTGCGGGAATCTGATCTTGGAAACAAAAGTCCTGCTGGGTAAATAAGGGAACCCATTCTAATATATTTTGTATTTGCAGGGTAAAGACATATTTAGTAATTGATATATAAACTTCAGTTTTAGTTTCCTGACCTTACAAACAGATTAATGAAGGTGGATGCTTGAGCCCGTGCTTAGTCTCTTGTCTTCAGTGAGATTCTGCATGATATAATCATCTGCCTGTATGGAGCTACTTGCAGGATTGGGACCTTAGTAAGGGAATGTTGATAATGATGTAATTCACAATTGATTAAATAAAATTTCACATAGAGAATTATCCACAGCATGAAAGTCCATATAGTCACAGTCTCAAAGTCTATAGCGTTTAATGAAGAGTGAAAATTATATTGAGAAGTAATAAATTTTACAGTAACTGGTTTACCATACAGTTGCCACATTACTCTGTTTTTTCTGCTAGAGAAAGGAATTGCCATTATGTTGTTGTGACTACATTTAACTTTCTTTCATTCCCGCTAGTGTGTGACATAGTCTGTCAGATACAAATGCTGTACCTGTTGCTGAGTTTGTGTATGGGTTGGATGATTGGCAGAATGAAGAAATCTCAAAGCAGACCCCTTCAGTGGGATTCCACTCCAGCGTCCACTGGCATTGCTGTAGTAGTTGTTGTAACCCAGGTTTGTATTTGTGCTGACTTTTCTTGCTGTACTGTACGCAAACTGTAGTACTGTTACCTGAGCAGCTGCTCCTAATAACTTTGGCAGAAGTGTATTGATAAGTATGACAGAACTGGGAACATCCCATTTCAATATTTTATGACTTTGGTGAACGAACATCAGGACCTTCAATCTTTTTTAAACGCTTGAGCAGATTAAAATAACAAAAAAGCAAGAGAGTATGTAACCGGCGATAACACATCCGCTATCGTTTACTGCAGGGATCGGCAACCTTTGGCATGTGGCCTGTCAGGGAAATCCACTGACAGGCCGGGACGGTTTGTTTACTTGCAGCATCTGCCGGTTCGGCTGATCACAGCTCCCACTGGCTGCGGATCACCGTTCCCAGGGCCGGTGCAACCACTAGGCGAACTAGGCGGTCGCCTAGGGCGCCAAGTGGTTGGGGGCGGCGGTGGAGCGGAGGTAAGCTCAGGTAGGGGGGGCGCGGGGAGGGCCGCCTGCAGCAAGTAAGGGGGGGGGCGGCACACAGGAGAACCGCTCCCCGCCCCAGCTCACCTCTGCTCCGCCTCCTGCCCTGAGCACCGCCCCGCTCTGCTTCTCTCCCTCCCAGGCTTGTGCACCAAACAGCTGATTGGTGCCACAAGCCTGGGAGGCTGGAGAAGCGGTGGCGTGCTCAGGGAGGAGACAGAGCAGAGGTGAGCTGGGGCAGGGAGCTGCTGTACGCGGCTCCCCGGGCCGAGGGGAGAGAGGGGGCGGCGGGGAGCTGCCGCAGGGCAGGGGTGGGGGGGTGCGGTGCAAGGTGGAAGTTTTGCCTAGGGCGTGAAACCTCCTTACACCGGCTCTGACCGTTCCAGGCCAATGGGGGCTGCAGGAAGCAGCGTGGGCCAAGGGATGTGCTGGCCACCTCTTCCCGCAGCCCTCATTGGCCTGGAACGGCGAACCGCGGCCAGTGGGAGCTGCGATCGACCAAACCTGCGGACGCTGCAGGTAACCAAACCGTCCTGGCCTGCCAGCGGATTTCCCTGACAGGTCGTGTGCTAAAGGTTGCCGATCCCTGGTTTGCTGCTTAGCATTCTCAATTCAGGATCCTGAGATTAGGGTATCTAGTGGTCTTTCAGATCCACCTAGGAGAATTGTTGAGCTGTTTGGATGCAGAATTGGTCCTGCAAATATAAAAATGGTCTAGGACATACACAGAAATGAGTTGAATTAATGTAATTAAATAAAGTCAATTTAGAGTAGCAAATAAATCATTAACATTATAATAAATCTTACCTTATTGGAGTGCCTAAAAAAGTGATTAAAAATAGAGAAGAGAGAATCTGAGAAGCACGGAGAAGTGGAGGAGCAGAGAGAAACTAGAGATAGTAGTGAAGGAAAGTAATGTTGCCAGCGTATGGCTGCTGGTATTAGAAAGGAGCCAGAAGTGGACTGGCACAAGATTTTTGGTCATCTTTGTGACCAGTACTGATCCCAAACAGAAATTAAATGGAGACTTGGAACTCTCTTAATAGTAGTTGGTGGTGTTCCCTGCTAAGTACGAGCCTGAACCAAAGTCCACAGAAATCAATTGGGAGTCTTCCCATTGGTTTCAATGGACTGTGGATGAGACCCTAAGTCACAGAAGAAGGTGCTGGAGAGAGCATACTAATTCAGGTAGGAGGGGGTGTCAGTTTTTGAGAGCTAGTGCCTATGGGCCTAATTCTGCTCCTCTTGAAGTCAATTGGCAAACTCCCACTTCAGTGGAAGCAGGATTGTGGTTCTCCATCAGGTTCCTCTCAAAGGAGAAAATGGAATTTAGCTGCAGCTTTGCTGCTCTAGGTCACTACATTATTTGAAATTTTAAATGAGTGAATTTTTCAAAAAATGAGGGAAGTCAAGAATCAGACTCCTTCCCTGCTAACAGACGCATCAGTTGTACTTAATATGTTAATTGGTGATGCCAGAGGAACAGTTCTAGCTCTGTTGCTTTTGGTAGCATGGCAGTTTCAGGCAAGAAGAGAGAACCACGGCTCTTGTGCTGATAGCTGGCACCATGGTCCTATCATAAATAGTTATGTGAAGAAATGTAACATGTACAGTATTTACTCTAAATGTACTTTTTTCAGAGTAACAGCCGTGTTAGTCTGTATTCGCAAAAAGAAAAGGAGTACTTGTGGCACCTTAGAGACTAACCAATTTATTTGAGCATAAGCTTTCGTGAGCTACAGCTCACTTCATCGGATGCATACTGTGGAAACTGCAGAAGACATTATATACACAGAGACCATGAAACAATACCTCCTCCCACCCCACTCTCCTGCTGGTAGTAGCTTATCTAAAGTGATCACTCTCCTTACAATGTGTATGATAATCAAGTTGGGCCATTTCCAGCACAAATCCAGGTTTTCTCACCCTCCGCCCCCCCCCCCACACACACACACACAAACTCTCTCTCCTGCTGGTAATAGCCCATCCAAAGTGACCACTCTCTTTACAATGTGTATGATAATCAACGTGAGCCATTTCCAGCACAAATCCAGGTTTTCTCACCCCCCCCTTTTTTTTTCCAAAAACCACACACACAAACTCACTCTCCTGCTGGTAATAGCTTATCCAAACTGACCACTCTCCTTACAATGTGTATGATAATCAAGGTGCGCCATTTCCAGCATAAATCCAAGTTTAACCAGAACGTCTGGGGGAGGGGTAGGAAAAAACAAGGGGAAATAGGCTACCTTGCATAATGACTTAGCCACTCCCACTCTCTATTTAAGCCTAAATTAATAGTATCCAATTTGCAAATGAATTCCAATTCAGCAGTTTCTCGCTGGAGTCTGGATTTGAAGTTTTTTTTGTTTTAAGATAGCGACCTTCATGTCTGTAATTGCGTGACCAGAGAGATTGAAGTGTTCTCCGACTGGTTTATGAATGTTATAATTCTTGACATCTGATTTGTGTCCATTTATTCTTTTACGTAGAGACTGTCCAGTTTGACCAATGTACATGGCAGAGGGGCACTGCTGGCACATGATGGCATATATCACATTGGTGGATGTGCAGGTGAACGAGCCTCTGATAGTGTGGCTGATGTTATTAGGCCCTGTGATGATGTCCCCTGAATAGATATGTGGGCACAGTTGGCAACGGGTTTTGTTGCAAGGATAAGTTCCTGGGTTAGTGGTTCTGTTGTGTGGTATGTGGTTGTTGGTGAGTATTTGCTTCAGGTTGGGGGGCTGTCTGTAGGCAAGGACTGGCCTGTCTCCCAAGATTTGTGAGAGTGTTGGGTCATCCTTCAGGATAGGTTGTAGATCCTTAATAATGCGTTGGAGGGGTTTTAGTTGGGGGCTGAAGGTGACGGCTAGTGGCGTTCTGTTATTTTCTTTGTTAGGCCTGTCCTGTCGTAGGTGACTTCTGGGAACTCTTCTGGCTCTAGACAAGCCATTTACAACGCACACTTTGCTTCTCTACAAAAGAAAAAGGACACTAAACTTTCTAAACTACTACATTCTACAAGGGGCCACAGCAGTGGTTCCCTCAACCCACCCAGCAATATTGTTAACCTATCCAACTATACTCTCAGCCCAGCAGAAGAAGCTGTCCTATCTCGGGGCCTCTCCTTCTGCCCCTCCACCCCCATGAACATAATACAGTTCTGTGGTGACCTAGAATCCTATTTTCGACGTCTCCGACTCAAGGAATATTTCCAAAATACCTCTGAACAACATACTAATCCACAGAGGCCTCCCTACCAACATTACAAAAAGAAGGATTCTAGGTGGACTCCTCCTGAAGGTCAAAACAGCAGACTGGACTTCTACATAGAGTGCTTCCGCCGACGTGCACAGGCTGAAATTGTAGAAAAGCAGCATCACTTGCCCCATAACCTCAGCCGTGCAGAACACAATGCCATCCACAACCTCAGAAACAACTCTGACATCATAATCAAAAAGGCTGACAAAGGAGGTGCTGTTGTCGTCATGAATAGGTCGGAATATGAACAAGAGGCTACTCGGCAGCTCTCCAACACCACTTTCTACAAGCCATTACCCTATGATCCCACTGAGAGTTACCAAAAGCAACTACAGCATTTGCTCAAGAAACTTCCTGAAAAAGCACAAGATCAAATCCGCACAGACACACCCCTGGAACCCCGACCTGGGATATTCTATCTACTATCTAAGATCCATAAACCTGGAAATCCTGGGCGCCCCATCATCTCAGGAATTGGCACCCTGACAGCAGGATTGTCTGGCTATGTAGACTCCCTCCTCAGGCCCTATGCTACCAGCACTCCCAGCTACCTTCGAGACACCACTGACTTCCTGAGGAAACTACAATCCATCGGTGATCTTCCTGATAACACCATCCTGGCCACTATGGATGTAGAAGCCCTCTACACCAACATTTCACACAAAGATGGACTACAAGCCGTCAAGAACACTATCCCCGATAATGTCACAGCTAACCTGATGGCTGAACTTTGTGACTTTGTCCTTACCCATAACTATTTTACATTTGGGGACAATGTATACCTTCAGATCAGCGGCACTGCTATGGGTACCCGCATGGCCGAACAGTATGCCAACATTTTTATGGCTGATTTAGAACAACGCTTCCTCAGCTCTCGTCCCCTAACGCCCCTACTCTACTTGCGCTATATTGATGACATCTTCATCATCTGGACCCATGGAAAAGAAGCCCTTGAGGAATTCCACCATGATTTCAACAATTTCCATCCCACCATCAACCTCAGCCTGGTCCAGTCCACACAAGAGATCCACTTCCTGGACACTACAGTGCTAATAAACAATGTTCACATAAACACCACCCTATACCGGAAACCTACTGACTGCTATTCCTACCTACGTGCCTCCAGCTTTCACCCTGACCACACCACACGATCCATCGTCTACAGCCAAGCTCTGCGATACAACCGTGTTTGCTCCATCCCCTCAGACAGAGACAAACACCTACAAGATCTTTATCAAGCATTCTTACAACTACAATACCCACCTGCGGAAGTGAAGAAACAGATTGATAGAGCCAGAAGAGTTCCCAGAAGTCACCTACGACAGGACAGGCCTAACAAAGAAAATAACAGAACGCCACTAGCCGTCACCTTCAGCCCCCAACTAAAACCCCTCCAACGCATTATTAAGGATCTGCAACCTATCCTGAAGGATGACCCAACACTCTCACAAATCTTGGGAGACAGGCCAGTCCTTGCCTACAGACAGCCCCCCAACCTGAAGCAAATACTCACCAACAACCACATACCACACAACAGAACCACTAACCCAGGAACCGATTCCTTGCAACAAAACCCGTTGCCAATTCTGCCCACATATCTATTCAGGGGACACCATCACAGGGCCTAATAACATCAGCCACACTATCAGAGGCTCGTTCACCTGCACATCCACCAATGTGATATATGCCATCATGTGCCAGCAGTGCCCCTCTGCCATGTACATTGGTCAAACTGGACAGTCTCTACGTAAAAGAATAAATGGACACAAATCAGATGTCAAGAATTATAACATTCATAAACCAGTCGGAGAACACTTCAATCTCTCTGGTCACGCAATTACAGACATGAAGGTCGCTATCTTAAAACAAAAAAACTTCAAATCCAGACTCCAGCGAGAAACTGCTGAATTGGAATTCATTTGCAAATTGGATACTATTAATTTAGGCTTAAATAGAGAGTGGGAGTGGCTAAGTCATTATGCAAGGTAGCCTATTTCCCCTTGTTTTTTCCTACCCCCTCCCCCAGACGTCCTGGTTAAACTTGGATTTATGCTGGAAATGGCCCACCTTGATTATCATACACATTGTAAGGAGAGTGATCACTTTAGATAAGCTATTACCAGCAGGAGAGTGGGGTGGGAGGAGGTATTGTTTCATGGTCTCTGTGTATATAATGTCTTCTGCAGTTTCCACAGTATGCATCCGATGAAGTGAGCTGTAGCTCACGAAAGCTTATGCTCAAATAAATTGGTTAGTCTCTAAGGTGCCCCAAGTACTCCTTTTTTTTTTTTAAAATGTACTTTGTTATTGTTTTGCAGAGTATTTTACTAATTTGGGAGCAGTTTGAAGATACTAATCATCACAGCTACCATTCACACCACAGTTTAGCAAGTGGACTTCTTATTGGTCTAAGAGTTTGTCTATCTCTGTCATTGGCCTGTGGACTCTACCAGATCATCAGAGTGGAGAGAAGTACACTCAAAAGGGAGTTCTATATCACCTTTGCCAAAGTAAGGCTCACATCTGGAAAATTAATCCCTTTCTTTTTAAATATTCTTATGATATGCTATTGACTGGACTATGCTTTACCTCCATGGGAGAATTAATGATTAAGGATTTGATTTGATGAAATAAATTGTATTCTTTCCATATACACTGAGTAGTTAAATTTGATGTGATAAGGATAAAGTGTGAACTAAAGCATAAAGTGTGGTTTTCATTCTGTTGCTTGACTGCAGAATGATGGAAAGATAGAAACATGTAAACGTAATTCCCCTAATTGTCATATCTATCTTCTGTACTGACACATCAGAGTAAATGGTATAAAATGCCATTATTCTCTTTCAGGGCTGCATTTTGTGGTTTTTGTGCCATCCGGGTCTTGCAACCGTTTCTGTGCTATTTAGAGACTATCAAAGAGAGAAGGTATGTATGGACAGGATAAAAACGATGTGGGATCTGATTAGAAATTCTACAGAAACTGCAGAGGAGCTGTTCCTTCTGTTGGGCTTTCTTTTATTAGAAAACTCATGTTCCAAGGCCTCTAACCTTTACATTCCCAAAGTAACCTATGGAGTTTTAGCCATACTCTCACTGACACAAATGGGAATCATGTGGCTGAAACTCTGCATGCCTTAGAAAATGTAAAGGTAATAGTTTGTAGGAAGAAGAAGGAGATGCTTGCTAAGGTAAAGCAAAAAATGGTTCTAGTAAAAACCAGCCTTGATGCTGGGGGGTTTTCAGCTCTCCTGAGGTAGAATTCAGTGCAGTGCTTTGTGATATGTAGAGATCTGGTAGGACACTGTAGGAAGATTTCTGCTCTTGGGTACTGGAGAAGTTTGATCACTGTGCTTGGGCAACTACAGTTCTGAAACTATGAAGATTTAACATTGTTTGCCTTTTAATTAAAAATATAGAAAAATATGTGCTCAGTGAATGTCACATTCAGTTGAGAGAAACAAGTATTTAAAAAAGATTTATATAGAACTTCCTCAAAGTGCCTACACACGCAAGTAAACTCTCACACCCCCTTTGCGAGCTGGGTAACTATTAACAGGCACGTCGTCTACAGATGGAGAAACTGAGATTAAAAGGCCTTGCCTACACTAGAAAATTAGACCACTAGATCACCACCATTGCAGCTCCACAGACGGAGGGTGTACTGCAGACAGGGCTCATTTTACTACTGTGTCATCTGAGGGCTAAATTCACAAGGGGAACTTAGGCATGGCAATGCTCAGTGTTGGTCTGTAATTATTCACACACTCCCTCTTTAGCCCAATGACTCTATAAGTATTTGACACAAAGTGGAACAGCTTCAGCTGAAGAGATTGAGCACTGCACCCCAGAAAACCCTCCTGTAACCAAGTGGTTAGGGATTCATCTGGGAGGTGGCAGAGCTAGGTTCGAGTCCCTGCTCTGAATCAGGCAGAGGGGGGATTTGAACCCAGGCCTCCCACATCTTGGGTGAGTTCTCTAAACAGTGGACTACAGAGTATAAGGGTGGGTGGCCCTAGCAATAGTGGCATCTCCTCCAGCCATCATTGCATGTTAGGCGTGCTAAAAGCACATTTATCAGACTTGGCCCTGCTGGAGAGTTGGCCCTTCCTCTTGAGAATTCCACCAAGGTTTTTTTTATGTGAGACAGGCTCCAAGTAGTTCAGTGGTGTCAGGACTTAAGTGGCTTTGTGCATGACCACTGGCAGAATTTTAGGTGCCTCATGGACTTTATCAGTGGAAATGTAGGTACCTATGGGATTAGGCAGCAACAGAGCAGTGGTTTTGTGAATGCCAGTGGTACCTAAATGTCAGATTTAGGCACTCAAGTCCCTCTTGTGAATCTAGCCCTTAGTTGTGGTGAACTACAAGACTGAGCTTTCCAAGAGCTGACGCGGGCAGAAAGGTTATATGACTTGTCCAGGGCTACCTAATAAGCTAGTGTAGATCCAGGATTACTAGGCAAGAGTTCCTGTATCCCAGACCCATGCTCAAACCTTTTGTAACTGCTGCAGTAGCAAAAGGTGTGCCGTAAGCTTCATTGTGCTTCTAAAAATAAAGTCAACTGATTTATTTTATTCTTTTTTCAAAGCATTCACTTTCTCTTTCCCCCACTCCTTTTTTGTCTTTAGGTTATTACCATAGGTGTTATCCTCTGCCAGTCCATCTGCATGTTTATCCTCTACAGACTTTTTCTATCTCATAGTCTATATTGGGAAGTGTCTTCTCTGTCATCAGTGACATTGCCACTGACCGTGGCATCTGGACATAAAAGTCGACATTACTTCTGAGATACATTTAGGAAAGAATACAGTGCAATAATGACCCAAATACAGCTATTTTCATCAGGTCAGTGTGCTACATCAGTGTCCCTGGAAAAACTGAATCATAAAATCAGAGCACATCACTGATCCTGGATCTGAACAAGTCCCCAAATTAGGTACATTAATTTTTTTTTTTTAAACTGGTGGTATGAAAATATATTTAAAATCTGAATGTTTGAATAGAGATTGTTTTTGTGGCACATGCGGTGCTGTGTTGTATGACAACAAAGGAGGACAAACCTAACCTTTCCACAGTGTTTTCACCCTAATAACTCCATGACTTTGTATCAATATTAAGTTTGAAGGCCTAGAAGAATCCAGTGCTTTAAATGGCTCTGAGCTCAAACAAGTCTGAAATAAGCCAGTTATGAAATCGGTGTAATACACGGAATAAAAGTTTGCTTTTCTTTTTATTCTGTAAAGAAAATGCATTTTGTGCTTTAAATGTAAAGGACTTGAAAAACAAAATTGCTCCAGAAACCAATGTAAAATGTTTACAGCTAACTGTGCAGTAAGCTTTCTTTCATTATTTGTGCAAAAGGAAAAGCACTTTTTTTCCCCACCAGTGTTGGTATTAGTTCAAATTTTAACTTGAGCAGCAATGGGGTTTTATCCATAACACTTTTGAGAGAAATGTTACTAAAAACATAACATAGGTGTGATGGGCAAAATGCTATGTGAGACTTTAAAGACGTGGCAACACTCGTAATAAAAACAGCAGGCTTGCTTTTTTTAGGAAAGAATGTGTAATGTGGTACTAGAATTTTAATCCTGATATAATTCATTTCTCTTACATTGAGGATTCAATCATAATTAAGCCATATACACAGATTAAATTAACAGAAGCATTTCAAATAAATGGTGGTTTCAGTCATCAACTACTCATGTATTCCTGCCCAAGGATACTTAATCAGGATTAAATTTTCTATGAATAATTGAAAAACAAAATACTCACTGGATTTGTTATAATCCATGTTGGCATTGGGTTCTAAGTAGTTGCCATCTTCCATCCATTGTAATAAAGCCATACATCTTTGTGATGCCCTAGCATTCAGAATGCCAGTGTAAATATGTACTTTATTTAAGTGCCTATTTATTGAGTGTGATTTAAATCATTTTGACAATTTTTTTTCTGTATTGTGGACATTCCTATTAAGTCATAGTTTGAAATCTTCTTGTTTGTACTTAATTTGATATTTGTCAAATTGTCTAAACCTATTATTGTCACATTTTGTTTCTTCACGGCATTTATTTTATTTACTAGTAAGTGTATTGAATTTTTAAAAAGAAATGAAAATTCATATTTGTAATAGATTATTGTTTATATAGATTTTGTTCATGTTTGCTTCAGTTGTACACTTGTTTGAAACTAAGTATTTCCCTTTTAGTTTAAAGATAGATGAAATATTTGCCTTTGACTAAGGCAAAATGGCAGCATGACAAAGTCGCTTATTTAAATCATCTCCTTGCTAGTTCTTCTCTCTAATTCAGGTCAAGAATGGCAGGTTGAGACTGGAAAAGGTGAGTTGTTATAATTTCACACAATCTGCAAAATAAGTACAAAATTAATTATCACATTCATCTGATAATCACATCAAAATGGTGTTGGTTATGTCTGTTTTCCACTTCCAAAGGAGAAAGCTTTCTGTTTTGGTGTAAGTCTCAAATAATGGAGTAGGAATAATTCTGGGTCTCCTCATGTGCAAGACAAATGTGTATTTCACACATTCAAAATATATACTGATTTTGGAATAGAGACAGGAATTATATATTATGATCTGACATGATAAAGGTTTCAATTTATGCAGAAAAGCTATAACTCTCTTAAGGAACACTCAGTGTTTTCTTTACCCACTGCACTCTCTTTTGTTATTTAATATAAATCGATCTGTGGCACTTTCCTGTTAATATAAAGGTAAACAATTCCTTGGCATCACATGATAAACACAGTGAATACAAAATCCTAATTCAGAATTCATAGTTCATCTGAAACTAAATATGTAGTATGACATTCAGTCTTTTCAACTTCTTGAATACATCCATTGGTCCTCAGATAACCTCATCCTGCTAGTTTGCATCATTCCAGATTATCTGAAAACATCAATTTAATCTGTCGTTTAGTGTAACCATAGCAGTTTAGTGTCACTCTACTGGTAGTAAGCTGGGCCACATCAAGAAGCTTTTCTCCTGTCATCTAGCATCTGACAACCTTGAGTATCAACTCATTAATGTATTTTTACATAACTGCCCGTTTTCTAGATTATTTCATAACTGCAGAGGCTAATAGCTTTGGGAAATGATCCTTCCACACACTTTGGTTAACGCATTATGACTTGAAAACTTAGGGCCAGTTTATCTCCTGCACTAAGATCAACTTGAAACAGGAAGGGGCATCAGAGAGCAGGTTCCTCCACCCCGATTCTCAGGCTGCAGCTGCTCTGGCCCCCTCACTGTCATAAATTACAGCAGCCTATGAGCTGTCCTAATTTACCCTAAGGGACCATACACAGGCTGAGACTATTCCCCTGATACACCCAGTACCCTGGTATAATGGTTGACACAGAAGTCAGCTCATCTAATTTTGTACAAACTGAAAGAGGAATTCTGAAGCTCAGCATCTCCCACAACTCTGATCCATATGGGCTGCTCCCCTCCTGTCTTCATTTGGAGAAGACAGTTCAAAAGCTGTAGCACAGCCCATGCTAACCACATCCCCTTATCCAGCAGCAGTCCAAGGGCGGGTCGCTTTGTTCCCTTTTCCTTGCTGGCCTTTTATTTTATCTGGTTTTTTGGGCAGTAGCAAACAGCTTTTCTTCTTCCTCTCCTGGATCAGGCATTGAGTGGGGTGTTTTCAGCCATCCAGCACCAGCACTGCCCTGCCAGACTCCTCAGCCCCCTCTCAGACATGGCAGAGCTGTCGCGTGAACAGTGAGCTGACGCCAAATGCTGCTCTATTTGTGAGGCAGCTTTCCAGGCCCTTCAGAAGGTGAATTGTGCCCTGTTTTTTCTTAGTCAGCCCACCTTTTTGCTGCTAGGGCACAGGTGAAGCGGAGCTCATATTCAGAAGCCGTTCTCCCAGGTCGAAACCCCATCCCCCAGCAGGGGGACCATGAAGGGGAGGACACCGAGGGTACAGTCTACACTGCATACACCTTATGATTCCACAATACATGTACTACAGGTATAAATAGTGTGGATTGTGAAGCGCTGCTTAGGCGAGTAAAGACACACCTGAACCCTGTGAGTATGTACCCTACCCAGCTTTCTACATGACTAAGCAATGCTTCCCCTGTCTACATTGCTATTTTTAGCAGGGTAGCATCCCACTGCTGGAGTCTTAACCTGTTGCCTGCTTGTGCCAGAGCCTTTCACTGACACATGTAGCTACATATGGATGCAGCCTGCTTTTTACTGTGGTATGTAGCTGCACACACCGGAGGAAGGGGACCTCTCAAATTCAGGCTCTGAGCAGCATGTGTAAAAAATGCAACAGAAGTCCCCCCCCACCCCCTGAAATATGCAAAAAGGTTACAACCACAATCCAGATCAAATGTGAGCAGGTGCTAGAGGAAAACCTAAAGGCAAATACCTATCTTCTAAATCCTTGCTTGAAACAGTAATCGCACTGCTCTCATCTTTTGAGGATGTGATCAGAGAGGAATGGGGAACACCTGATAAGGGTAAATGCATAAGCAGGTGTGCACTTTTATATTACAGGGATGCAAGAGCCAAAAAAAACCCCAACCCATTACAGATATACCAAAGGTCAATGCTGAAATAGCTTCTTTAGCAAGATGTGGTAATTCTGTCTGAAGGCGATATCTTTCCCCAGGATCCTGCTAATAGAAAGGTGATAGCCCCCCTCAGGAGGGACTTTAAGACTTTGTCAGTCTCCTTTAGAGCATCTACAAGGGCTTTAGAAGGGTCACAATGTCCTGCCTGGATGAACTTAAGGCCGTGAAGGACAGACCATCCCAAGTTCTGATCTACACTTAAGAAAAGTTCCTTAGCAACAGCCTCTTTGGCAAAATCCTCAATGGATGCAATGAGCTTTTCAGCCACATCTGGCTTTGCCTCTGGAAGATTGAGGCTCACTCAAGCAAATTCTGTGCACATGTACATTCACAGGCTTTCTCCTCTCTGGTGAAAAACTAGACAAAATAATGTCAGAAAGTGCTGCCAAACCTAAACCATCCCTTCTTCCCTTTCCCTCCCAACTCAACACTCTAAGGTGGGACTATAAACCTAGCAACAGACAACAGTGCTCCTTTCGTCCACCCTCCTCGCAAAGCTATCAGACAAAAGACAACAGGTATATCAGGGAAAATCCTGGAATTGAAGATTGGGTGGAAAATCCAGAGGGGAATCTACCACCTCTAACAGCATTCTATGGCAACAAACAAATGTATCTCTGCCCAGACCTGAATCTAGAAGGCAGAATTTCCCCCTTCTCAGAAGAATGGTCTCAACTGAACCCAGAGAAGTGGTTGAGAGAGGTAGTGAGTCATGGACACTCCCTGAAGCTCCTCATCCCAACCCTTCTTCATCCAATCCCCCCATCTCAGGAGATGCCATCAAATGTGAGCTGGTGTTATACAGAATCTCACATCTCCTGGAGATAGGAGCAATAGAAAAGGTTCCCTTCAAAAAAGATTCTTAGAACTCAATTTTCTTCATTGTCCAGAAGCATACTGGTGGGTCAGAGCAGTCCTGGAGTTCAAGCAGCTCAACAAATGATAAAGAAATGATAAACAAATGATAAAGAAAACATGGTGGCCCTAGCTTCACCAGGAGTATCCTTGCCTCAAGTGGACTTCCATGGATCTAAAAGATGTATAACTTTACATTCCTATATGACTTTACTACCACAGATTGCTGAGATTTGCATATGGCACAGCCCACTGTCTGTATCGAATGCTTCCATTCAGCATCTTGTTGGCCCCTGGGTCTTTACAAAGATGCTCGTGGTGATACTAGCTAGCCTCAGGCTCTTTGGAGTGCTTATCAGTAACCTTCCATCCCTAGATGACATCTTGATCTGCGCTCCGACCAAAGCAGCAAACACAGTGCCACAATCCAGATGCTGGATCTGCTTCAAGCACACGTATTTGTGATAAAGACAAGAAGAGCTCCTTGACTCCCTCCACAAAGATGATTCACCTGGGAATGGAAACAGACACTTCTGTGACAAAGGTCTACCCTGAACAGATTCCACAATATCCGGAGCCCGATATCCATTTTGGAAAAGTCTGCAAGGCTGACCAGAGCTCAGTGTTACAGCTGCTTAGCCTCCTGGTTTCATGTGCAGGAATCACCTCCATGGGCAAGGTCCCATATCATGGGCGAGGTACCTCCAGTCCTTTCTCCTGAAAGTATGGAACCATTTATCGGAATGCATTCCACACCAGATACTGTTCTGAATCTCAACTCTCTCAGATGGTGGACAATCCCTCAGAACATCTGCAAGGGTATTCCTATGTAAGTCAACCTGTTCGCTAATCTCAAGAGCACAAAGTGGCCAAAGTACTTCATCAAGAAAGCAGACCCCAAATCCCTAGGGACAGGTGCTCTTTTGCACAGACGGACACAAGGCCTGCTACATGCATTCCCACCCTTTCCACTTCTAGGAAAGGTGATCCAGAAGGTAGGGCAAGAAGAAACAAAGGTGATAGTGTTAACTCAGCACTGCAAAGGAGAAGAGAGTTCTCCAGTGTGATAGAACTGAAATCAGAACCACCATTGCAACTACCAGTGAGATCTGACCATCATTTACTAAGAACGTAACAAAAGCACATAACAAAAATCCCAAGGATTCCTAGTTATCCTGGACTTTCTTCAAGAAGGCGTACACAAAGGACTTCAGTGCAGCACCATAGCGTGCCAGGTGTCAGCTATAACTAGTGTCCTATTTATAGGATCCTCTGGTTCCTTGACAGAGAACCATCAGGTATCCAGATTGCTCAGAGCAGTCAGATTGGCTAAACCTGCAGTTAGACCAATCTTTCCGAAGTGGTACCTACTGCAGGTTAAAAGCCCTAACCACACACCCTTTTGAACCACTGACATCAATATCTTCATTCTACCTATCCATCAACACTCTTCTCTTGTTGCCATCATGTCTTCTAGACATGTTTCTGAACTTGGCAGCTGTATCTATGCAGGATCCCCACTGGGTGTTCCATGATGACAAGATCATGCGAAGAATCCTAGCATCGTTCTTGCCTAAGGCAAATTCATCTTTCCATGCCTCACAGAAGATTGTCCTCCCTTCATTCACCCTCAAGCCACAGCAACCAGCAGAAAACTGTGGCTCA